GGTGGGGGAGGCCCTGTTCCCCTGGTCCATCGTACCTTTCCTCTTTTAGCAGGTCTCAGGTGGGGAGGGCCCATCCAAGTCACTTTGGGTTCTGTAAAGAGATAGGATGGCCAAGGCAGCAGTGTAATAGGGACAGAACTGTTCAGAGAAGGGTGACAATGATAAATTAAGGGTCCCCCGGGGTCACCTTAGAGAAGTAGCCTCAACTTTCGGCCAGTCAAGTGACTGCAGGTAGCTTTTATTTATCAGAAATAACAAACCAAGATTCCATGTAATGCCAATGCTTAAAAGAGGAGGTATCCATGGAATGGAGTCCTTATTAGCATAGTGTGGCTGGACTGGGCATGTGCCACACGTGGATAGAGGCTGTTCCAATCCCCCAAAGAGCAATTTTTAGCAATTTTTTCTTCAGTGGAAAGTATGCTGAGGCCATCTCATTAAATGAGACCCCAAGGCCTCTGAGAACTACACTACATACTGAGAATTGGTGGGAGGGGAAGGTATGACCTTCCACAGCATAGCCAGGCTGTTTGAAGAACATTGCCTATTGAAAGCAGTAGCCATGAAGGGCCCATACAAAAACCACCAACAGGTGGCTGTGCCATCTGTGAGAGGCTCTGTGGCTCCAGGAATGCATTGTTCCCGTATGGAAAGTGATCTTACGTGGTGCAGTCCACACCTCTGTCCTAACACATTCCGACGAAATGTACCAAAATGACTTGGAGAAGTTTTTGCCTTAAAGTCAAAAGTACATTGGTGCCAAAGTTAGAAGTTGGTTTAAGGCAGGTGAAAATCAGCCAAATTGTTAATGCTTTACGGATTGATTCCTTTACAGCGTGAACAGTCTGGAAGGTGGGGGGGGGGAGGCAGCTGGTCAGACTGCCAGAATTTCTTTCTGGTACTGAGCTAAATTGTCATTGCCAGAGTTATAATGTTTTTGATTGATTTGGAATACAGTGAAGGAGCGTTGTTGTTTTGCACGTCATTGACATCTTATGAAAAAAGTTACTCTTTTCCTTGAAGTATTTGATTCTCAGCCTTTTCGCATATGATTTCATTATATCATATACATACATACATACATATATATGTATGTATGTATAGTTCCTCCTGGAAAAAACAGCTGACTGACTATGTAAGTAGGGGAGGGAGGGAAAAGAAGGATCCATTTAACAGAAATTGCCTTTATAGCAAACTTAGTTGGAACACATCCAATGTTCCTTCAATTAAAATAATTTCATGCTCCTTATATCCAAAACCCTGTCATTGGAACTGTGGGAAGGGGGCGCATAAAATGTACAAGACCATTGTTGCCATCAGGGAGCTCACAAGACAAATCTTCTATGTTAAGGCAGGGCTCTGGTGCTTGCTTTATGAACCCTTTTGAGGATGCTGAGGCTGATTTCTCTATCTGTCAGCAGCTTGAGTAGACCTCTCATTGGGGGGCTTAGACTGAAATAGAAATTAAGGACCTCCAGTGTCCTTGGAGTGATCATGGGGGCAGGCAAGCTAGTGCATTGTGGGGCCAGGGTCTCTGGGCAGTTAGAATAGCCACTTCTGGGCAAGATTTCAGCCTTAAAGTGACTTAGCAAGGGGGCTGGGGTGTCTCCTGGAGACTGTATTTGGCTTCTTACCTTAAAGAGTCTCAGCGCTTTAGTGACTAGGGAAAAGGAAGACTTGAGGGGTGGGGTGGGGGTATGTGGCTCCCATTCTCTAGTTCTATCTTCCACTTAAAACGTTCCCTTGACTTCACTGGCACTCTGGATGAAGAAGAGTAGAGTGAGGGGAAGCACATCCCTCTTCTAAGGAGCCGAGTGAATCTGGAGAGGGGGGTGGAGATGCTGCCAGCCCTGACGACTGCAAGAGGTAAACTCTCTCTTGGGGAAGGGAAAATATGAAATATTAAACTGGCATTAAATATTAACATTGAATTAATGAAAACACCAGAAACACTTTATTGGTGTAGGAAGTTTCCCCCCACCCCCTTTAAAAAGACATTCTTTTAAAACTCAAAGTGTCTCCATGTGCACTCCCTTCAGAGGAGTAAATAGTGCACGTACATGGGTAGCAATGACATCATGGAGGGCTCTTATATCACTTGGCCACTTCATCATGTAAGTGGCCACTGGGAGGCTAAGGGAGTCCAAGGACGGTGTGCCAGACCTGATGGCCAGGTGTCAGATTTGCCCAAAGGGAAGGAAAAGGCCCAAGGAGCCACGGAAAACTTCAGTATGTGTGTGGAGGGGAGTGGGGTGGGGGAGGGGAGTGAAAGCCATATGGCCTAGATTCTTCCACCATGTGGCTCCTCTAGAGTGCTTCTGGGTGAAGGGGTGGGGATGGGGGGTGTGGCAGTGATCACAATTAAGACCGTTTGTTCCCCACTCCCTCCGCAACTGCCCTCTGCGGGAGGCTAGCCTCTGTGTCACTTTGTTAACTCCCTCAGGTCATTCTGCTGGCCCGTACTTTGACTTCTCTGGCCTCCTAGTACCAGCTGATTGCTCGAGCTGGGTCCCAGTTGGGCAGGCGCCATGGCTCAGGGCTATTGCTGTCTCCAGAGCATTGTTCTCCAAGACTTGCAACAGGGCAGATTTGTGCAGTTGGCCCATCTGGAGCAGATCGCTAACAAGTAATGCTCTGTTGAATCAGCTCATCTCCATAGTGCCCCTCCTCTCCCCCTGCCCTCGGGCCGTGGCAGCCTGACACCCCGTCAGACCCATCGTGAAGATTATCAAAGGGGTGGTCTCTGATTCTTTTCAAAAGAGATTTTCCTTGTGTGGTCTCATTGACTTCCACTACCTGGGCAGAAATGGGCAAGCTCCTTCTTTCCCTCCCAATTCAACCCCTTCCTGCTGGCTCATTGTCCCTTGTATGCCGAAGTAGAAATCCCATGGATTACTCTCTACTTTCCCACTGACCAGTGAGTTCTGAGCCAGCCATCCTGGATGGCAGAGAACTGAGAGAAGGAATGATAATAGCTCACTTTAGTGTTTTCAAAGTGCCATGCATAAATGACCTCCATTGTTCTTGGTAACAGCTTGGAAGGTAAGGTTTATTATTATCTCCACTTTACAGATGGGGAAACTGAGGCTAAGATGAGCTAAGTGACTTGCCCGTAGTCATAGAACTAGTGTAGTAGGATTCAAACTCAGGTCTTCCAGACTCCAACCAAGTCCAGAACCCTGTCACCCATGAGTTGCTGCCATGCTGGCAGAGAGGCCCCCATAGCAACACATGAGAAGAAACAGACAACCTCATTTGACCAGGGGAGAATGTGAGCCCAGCACTGGATTGACTTTGGGGTTTATTGACTTTGGAATTTGAACATGGTAGTAAAAGAGAGGGTATATGTGTCATTCCAAAAAACCAGATTGATTATGCCCAAAAAAACGCCAAGGAAGATTTATTGAGTTCACCTCTTTCAGCCAGTGTCTCAGCACTTTCTATCATATTCAGCCTTTCTAGCTCACAGTTTTGCACATGCTGTAGACTCCAAGGTGCTGGACCCATGCTGCCATGTGGGCTGATAGGAAGGCAGCAGAAATAGAACCCTGAAGTGTGTACTGTATACCTCATCCTCCTAGCTCTGGTACTGTTCTCAGCTGCCACTCTGTGTGTGTGTGTGTGTGTGTGTGTGTGTGTTTTGGGAGGTGGAGAATAGGAAACATGGCCACTAGATTAGTGGACCCCCAAATGCTCCTACCAATGACACCACCCCCTGCAGGTAGACATGATCCTGTAGGCACAGCATAGCAACCATTACATGCCATTCCTGCTCCAGAGCCTTGGATGCCACCCTGTCCAGGACAGGGCTGGAGTGTTGCTGTGAACAATTTGCCAAAAGGAGTGCATGATCTCTCAAGGTCTTAACTCATCGCCAACAGCAGGAGATGAAGTCAGCAGCCAAGAGGCCAGGTGCATCTTTTGGTGATGCAAGCACAAGGGAGGAGAGTTTTGGATATCAAAGAGTTTGGGGTTTGGAATAAAAAGAGCAAACCCAAAATTACCCAAGGACATTCTCTGTTTCCCACAACTCCTAGGGTTTCAGGCACACATTGGCTCAGGCCTGGTGTCTTATGCAAGGTTACAAGTGCCACTGAGTAAGATCAGGCAGATCCTTTAAAAAATATTGTTTCTTTTTAGGCAACCCAAAGCTACTGTTGCCATGCTAGTTCTGAAGGGATAAAGGCCTTCCGGAACAGCAGAGTGAGTGTTCCCATGGCTAGGAGACTCCAGGAGTGTTAAATAATGAGGCCTATCTGGGTTGTCAAGATCAGATTTTTCCAGAAGTCTAGAGCACCACCTCCATCCATGCCCAGTGTTGGGTTCTCTAATGCTTGTGAAAATCTCTCAACTGATTCCCCTAGTTCAATACAGGGCTTTTTAGTCATGCTCTGTGGTAAATGGGTGGTGGAAAGGCTGTCAGCTTCCCTTCCTTCTATAGTCCCAAATGGAGGCTCTCTGGTCCTTTGAGTATATATACATGACTGGCCATGAAGGGCAGCGGGTATGGATGGGCACACTGTTAGTTTCCATGCTTTAGAATGGGTAGGATGCACCATGTTCAGATGCTAAGGGAAGAGGGCCCAGCATCCCTGTAAGGCCATGCTGAGGTGAAGGTGCACTGGGATGAGAGGACAGAGTCTATGGTTTTTAGCATTAGGGACCTGGGTACCCCCTTAATGGAGTGTTGGAAGAAGAGCCTTTGGAAGAGAAAGAAGACCTTATTAGCTAGCCCCAGGAAAATGGCAGACCCTAACTTTAGGAGAGAATGAGTGAGGTTGGAGTTTGGTTGGATTTGGATAGATTAGCCTTCTCTAGAAGTACAACCACTTTTGTCACCATGCAGCAGCAGCAGCAGCATATACCCACATAGCTGGTAGGTTGGTAGTTGAGTACTCTGGATGGGAGGTCAAGGAACTGTCCCAAGTTCTGATGCAGGGTGAAGGAAGGTGACAGCCCCGCCTCCTCCTGGAGGCTTAGCCGGAAGTGACCTGCCCTCATTATGGTGCTTGGTGGATGTCCTCTGATAGAAGAACTTTGTAGACAACCCAGTAAAAGATGTTGAAGATGAGGAACGTGAAAGGGAAGATTGCACGGGAGATGGTATCGATTCGTTTGGCCCTGTCCACATAGTGCTTCCGTGCAGTGTCCCCCTCCCTCAGGAGAGGGACTGGGGGTGGGGTGCTATAAATACCTGGGCCTTCCATGGGACCTCTATCCCTGACCTGCAGGCAGTGGCCCAGGCCATAGCCCCGGAAGTAGAATCGACTCTCTCGAATGACTTCTTCTTCCTGCAGGAGCAAGTGAGAAAAGGCAGGCAGAGTTTGAAATCACAATAGGGACAGAGACCAGACTGCATACATCTGTTCCTCTTGTGAAGCCATATGCATAGCACGTCAAGATATAGATCTCTATGTCTGCAGTTTACTTAGGAACATACATCCAAGCACTTGGGTTGGATGGTACATAGTCTATGCATTTCTCCATCATTAGCGTAGCCTATGCTATGCTCCTATTTGCAGGTCTCCCCCTTACAAAGTTAATAATAATAATCACAATAATTACCAAGAGATAATTAGGGACATTCAAAACTAATGGAAGTGTTGAGCCACTTGGAAAGATGTCTGAGAGTAATATAAATCCCCAGGTTCCTCTAATTTGTGATAAGCAGAATGATGAAACCTATTGGGTGATGTTTCTTGGGAAACATTTAGGTTTTTGAGAACGTGGTTTTCATGACTTGTAGGCCAAGAAAGGAAGTAGAAGTCTACCTGGGCGGGGGCTTATTTGCTCTCTATCTAAAAAGCAAACCTCCAAGGGAAGGCAGCATGGATGGCCTACTGGACTTGGAGTCAGGAATGCCTGGATTCTAACCCCAGCCCAGACACTTCCTGACTGTTGATTCTGGGCTTCAGGTTTTTCATCTGTGGAGTAAGGTGAGGTTGGGCTGCGAGGTTCCCTCCCTTGTAACTCTGTGCTCCACTGTCCTATGAGCCTCCTATACTTAAGGGATGTGAATACCTCCCAACGGCCATCCAATGAGATCAGTGGGGTCGGTCGGGTAGCCCCAGATGGATGTCAGCTAATTCCCTCAGAGAGCCCACAGCCTAAGCAATACGTACATTATTAACTCAACTAGACTTCTGTCCATTGCCATGGACGTAATCATCACCATCATCATTATGGACATGTGGCCATGGTATCTACAAAACCCACACAATACAATTCTCTGGAAGCCTGCCACAAATTTAGCGGGGAGCGATAAACATGACAGCAGCAAAAAGGTTCCCAGGATCCCCACACTGAAAAAGAGGTGCTCAGTCCCCCTCTCAGGTCACGATGACGCTCATTGCAACACCATGATACTTGGAACAAGTTTGGTTGTCTGGTTTCCTGGCTCACAGCAGAATAGAAGGAGCAAATTGGGTGGGTGGGAGAGGGGGCACCATAGAGCGAGACATTCAATCTGCTTGATAGAGGCAAGAGTGATATAGTGATGATGATGGTGAATTTGGAGTCAGAGGGTCTGAATTCGAATCCTGGCTGTGTATACTACCAGCATGAGCTTGGGCAAATTACCTAACCTCTCTGAGCCTCAGTTTCCTAACAATAAAAAAGGATGTGTGTGTGTGTGTGTGTGTGTGTGTATAAACTAGATGGTCTCCTATAGCCTTTTCAGCTCGAAATGTGTGAGTAGATGAAAGGGGGAAGAAATGACAGCTGCCAGTTTGACACAGAGGGAGGAGAGCTTAGTAGAGTGCCTGGCACATAGTAGTTACTTAATACATATTGATTGATTGAAACAGAAAAACTACAAAAAGCAGACACAAGCACTCTTTTTTTTTTGCCTTTTTTGGTGAGGCAATTGGGGTTAAGTGACTTGCCCAGGGTCACACAGCTAGTAAGTGTCATATGTCTGAGATAGATTTGAACTCAAGTCCTCCTGACTCCAAGGCTGGAGCTCTACCCACTGCACTGCCTAGCTGCCCCAGACAGAAGCACTCTTAAAGCCCAGTTGTCTGGGAGGGGAAGGGTGGAAGGACAGTCCTCCATGCCTCAATGATCTGTATTACACAAAGCCCAGTACAACAGTTGATTCTCATTATGGAGAAGTGAAAAGATCACTTACTGGCTTTGGCATCTGAGGACCTGAGTTCAAATCGTGCTTCTGTCACTTGCTACCTGTATGACCTTGAGCCAGCGTTGCCTCGTATATGAAGGAAGAGGTTTGGACTAGATGGACTAGAAGGGACTAAGGGCACTTCCAGCCCGAAATCTGCCATCCTGTGCCCCTGGGTGATGCACAAAAGGTTACATGACATTCAGTATTCTCTGTTTAAAAATTAAGAAGAGAGATACCCATGCAAAAACATGCTGATTAAATGCTGAGTTCAGTGAACAGTGCACAGGTCAGTTTGGCTGGAATGTGGAGTATAGTAAGGGAAGTCCTATGGAATCAGGGTGGAAAGGGAGAGTGGAGCCATGTGGTGAAGGGTCAAGGAGTCTCTATTTCATTCCAGGAGCAACGGGGAGCCATTGAAAGTTCTTGGGGAAGGGAGTGTGACATGATCAAACCAGAGCCTACTTAGAGAGAAGCTAGAAAATATCTGCATGATTACTGAGCTGTTGTATGGTACCCAGACTCTGCTCTCCAGGGGGAAGGCAGGGAGATATTTTTGTTTCCTACGGTAAGCCCCAGAGGAATACCAGACTACTTCCTGAATTTCTGTAACACTAGAGGCCTCCCAGCACTTTACAGCTTGCTCCAATAAAGCCTTACATTATGATGAAGTTAATATTGATTCCCATTTTAGAGATGTGGAAACTGAGGCCCAGAAACCTTGGATCCCTCCGAAGTCATTGGGAGGTTAAGAAAGAAGTAAGAGAAGCAATTCCTCACAATGAGAGTTGCTGTGATAGACCCACAATGGGTCTGTTGGCAAAGCACTTTGAAGGAGGAAAACCCAGCTCAACGTTCCTGGTCTGGGCTTGAGCTGTTTCTTTAAAGTCGATTGTTTCCTTTTGCCTTGTCACAGGTGAAGCAGTGGGCATGGTTCACAGAATGGAGAGTGAAGGTGCCCATGGGAGCCTCATCCCATTTGCCCTTGTAGCCTCAGAGGTGGGAGAGTGGGCAGGGGCTGAAAGGCCGAGCCAGAGTCAGAGATCTGGTGGCTCTAAGTCAGGGAGGGAGGAGGAAGAGAGGGAGAGTGAATCCTGGACAGCTTTGACCATCATCCTCCCCCTTTTTTTTTTTTGCCCTCCTGTGTGTGTGTGTGTGTATGTGTGTATGTTGGGGTAAGAATGTGGGAAGAGGAGGAGAAGACAGAATTCAGTGTACCCTGTGAGCTGTTGCTGCTGGGAGTGGGGGGAAAGGGGAGGTGGACAGAGAGGACTGAGGCTCTGGAGGAGGTTGGCGGGGTCACGGAAGTCCCTGACAGCTCCCAACTAGATTTCTCTGCATGACCAGACTCATTCTCTGATGAACTAATCAATCTGTTTGTCTTGGGCAGGCAGAAAGAGCACAAGGGAGGCTTTCTAGCTGTGGGGCCTTAGGCAAGCCAGGTGACTTCCCTGAACCTCAGTTTCCCCATCTGTAAAATGAGAATAATAATTGGTTCTCACCTTATAGAATTATTGAGAGGGTAAAATGAGATAATGGATGTAAAATATTTTGTCGACCTTAAGGCCCTATATGAATGTCAGCTGCTGTTATCAGGCATTGGGGGAGGGGAGAGGTCACAAAAATATGGACATTATCGATGTCCTCGAGGAACTCACTGTCTTTTAAAAGAGACAAGCCAGAAAGCAGCCTGAAAGTGAGCAAGAGACTACAGAGAAGGCATGCATGCTGGGAATTTTGAGTTAATCCTGAAAGGTTTCCTGAAAGAGGAGAGTCTGCCTGATTTTTGAAGAAGTAAAGGACATTGGTGGACATCAGAGGGTATAGATGTGGTGCCATGCATGCACAGCACGTGTCTGGCAGGTTCCACCGGGTTTCAGGAATAGAACACTTTCTAACCAGAATTCCAACCAACTCCATTCAGCAATCACTATGTCCACTGTGCCGGGAGCCAGGAATACAAAGACAAGTTTCTGCTTCAAGGAGCTTCCACTCTAGCGGCCTAATGAAGCTAAGCTGTGGCTGAAGAGGACAACCACTGAAAAGTCACACCTGCTTTGAGCTGCCCCAGAGGAAGAGGCCCAGACCTCAGCCCGCCCTGGTCGTGTTTGTTACAATCTTTACCCATAGCCAGGACACTTCCAGGCCCACGGTTCAAGACTTTTTCATGGCTGCTTGCTTCGTGGGACAGATGGAATGGTGTTTGTTGGGAAGGGTGACCCTGGGGTGCCTGGCAGTGGGGGCGGTTGGGAAAGGAGAGGGCAGAGATGAGTTAATACCGCCTTGCCTGGGCCTGGAGCTCCAGCAGGCCATGTCATAGCAGGGCAGGCTAGTCTGCTGCCAGAGGCACTCCAGGCTAGCTTGCTCCTTCCATGCTCATCCCCTTTTCACTCCAACAGTTGGGGAGCAAACAAAAACAGGACAGAGGAGTGATGCAGGGCTCTGCCAGATGCTTTGGTTTTCTGGAAGAAATAGCTTGATATGAGAGAGGGAGGCCTAGAGCTTCTGCCACCATCTTCCTTTCCTGTCCTTTTACTAGGCCAGTCTAGATCTTCTTAGAGGAGCAGGGGTTGGCCTGGGAAGGTCTACAAGGTGGTGGTGGTGGGTGGGTGGAATTGAAAACTAGGAAAGGAAATGTGACATGCTAGAGAATGCACCTAGGTTGTTCAGTGGCTAGAGTGCTGGGCCTCAAGTCAGATAGACCTGAATTCAAATCTGGCCTTAGACACATACTAGCTGTGTGACCCTGGGCAAGTCACTTAACCTTTGTGTGCATCAGTTTCCTCAACTGTAAAATGGGGGTGATAACAGCACCTACCCCACCCCCCAGTGTTGTGAGGATGAAATGAGATAGTATTTGTAAAGTGCTTACCACAGTGCCTGGCACATAGTAGGTGCTTAATAAACACTTATCCTTTTCCCACACCCTGCCCCCTAACTCCAGGAGTTTCAAATCACAGCTGTGTGACCTTGAGCAAGTCCCTTTCCTTCCCTGGGCCTCAGTTTCCTCCTCTGGAAAACGAGGAGGTGGATTCATAGCCTCTGATGAGGTCCCTCCCAGCTGTAGAGCTGAGGTCCTATGAGCCAGCTTTAACTCCTGCATGCAATGAATTATGGGGAGGTGCCAGAATGGATTTGACCACTAGAGGGAGCCCCACCCAGGGCTCTGATAATGGAGGAAAGCGACAATGGATGGTAAGAACCCAGAAACAGTACAAGAGAAAGGCTGAGAGAGAGAGAGAGAGAGAGAGAGAGAGAGAGAGGGTACTGTCTACAGTGAATCCCAAAGCAATTTGAAACTTTAGATTTGGTTTGTGAGCTCCTCAGCTCTAGTAGAGGACAGATCAGAGTCAAAGAGCAGGACGAGAGGGAGGAAGGAGAAAAGCCCATGTGGCTGGAGGGGAAGCAATTGGTGCAGACACGATGAGACCATAGATGCAGCCTCCTTCTCCAGGCAGACGTTAGGCACAGGGACTGGGATCCTTAACTTGTCATTACATCTCCAGGGTTTGAAAGCCCAGATCTTCTGGGTTTGCTGCCTCAGGCTCCAAGGTTTGGAGATCAGGCAGACGGAGAAGCTGTGAGCTCTAAGCAGAGCTCAGTGCTTCTTAGCAGGCTGGTAGTTCCAAAGAAACCAAATCTTTTTGCCCCTCTGCACAAAACACCCAGGGTTCCTTCCTTTGTTCATCATTTTGCACTTCCTTCCCAGAAGAGTGTCTCGGGAATGCATCTGTTGTCATAACAACATGCCTGACATTCTGCTCTCCAAAAGTAGAGGAGGGAGACCATCTCTGTTGTCATGACAACACAACCCCCCCCCCCAACACCCTGGCTCTGGGGCAGGGAAGGGGAAAGGGGGACCAGATTGTCAGGTGATCACAAGTGCCTCTTTCCAGAGAGGGCATGGAGACAGGCCATCTCCGTTGTCATGACAACACAGTCCATCTAATGGTTCTCCCAGGTGGAAACTTTTTTTTCTTTCTTGGGAGAAAAGGGAACAAAGAACAGAAATGCCGGAGAAGATCCCTAGTCTAACTGCTTCTGTTTCTCCTCCAGGGGCCATAATGAAAGCTCTTATCCAGAGCAGGGCAAGTTGGCAGAGTTTACACCCAAGGGGGTTATAGAGTCCCTTCAGCAGCATTTCACCTCTAAAGATGCTTTTTGGCCCTTGAATTAGCATCTAGTAGCTATAGCCTGCAGCAAGCAGGAGCACCCCAGGGGCCTGGGGTGGGGGGAGTGAACAGCCATAAGTTGTACAATCACTTGGGGGCAACATGACATACTAGCAAGAAAACCTTACACATTTTGTGTAGCATTTTATAGTTTAATCTTCCCAGCAACCTTGGAAAGCGTTGTATTGATAAAAGAAACCAGTCTGAGAGACAGTGACTTGCCCAGGGTCACATAGCTATCTAATGGTGGAGTTAGGCATAGATGATAGATCTCCTGATTTCAACTCCTGTGTTCTTTCCACTAAACACCATGGCTTATAAACGAGGTTAGTAAGACATTTGAATGTGAGGCTGTCACAAATTTAGCCAAGTAGGAGGTAGGAGCATGCTGTATGACTGCTGGGTCTGCTAACCGTTAAAGGAGGGAAGAAGTTGTCCCTTTTGACTAACACCAGAGATAGCTGATGCTAACATGGCCTGGGTCCTTCCAGTGGGAAAACACCCAAGCTAATATCCTAGTCCCTCATGTGGATAAGAAAGTGTCAGGGGGCAGCTAGGTGGTGCAGTGGCTAGAGCTCTGGCCTTGGAGTCAGGAGGACCTGAGTTCAAATTCAGCCTCAGATACTTGACACTTACTAGCTTTGTGACCCTGGCCATGTCACTTAACATCAATTGCCTCACCAGAAAAAGAAAAAAACAGTGTCAGAAGCTGGGGGACGAAAGTCAGAAGAGGACAGAGATAGTGGGGTACAGCATGCCGGGTTGCAAACGGAAATACTCACCATGCGCTGGCGCCTCTGCCTCCTTCGAAGGCGCATGAACTCCTTATGTTGGCGGGAGACAAAGTTCACAGCAGCATACTCCAGCAAGGCAGCAAATACAAAGAGCAGACAGACTGCCATCCAGATGTCAATGGCCTTCACATAGGACACCTGCAACACCAACTGCTGGGTCCATCGGGATTCCTTGCCCCCCTTGCCCCCATCTGAGCTGTCCTGCCACTCCCTTTCATTCTCCATTGGTTTCTTTTTTTTTAAAAAGATGTTTGCAAAGACACATATCACTGCCCAGGTGTTCATACATCTCTCCTCGTCCTATTTCCCTTTGTTCCTGCTGCCCTTTTCTTAACTGAGAGTATTACCATCACAAAAACATCATGATGCTTGCCACTTTTCAAAGTATTGAATATCCATGCTTTCATCTGGTCCCCATGACACCTCTTTGGGGTACATGGGGACCCCCATCTTATAGATGAGGAAATAAAGAACTAATCATGGAGCTCATCTCTCTTGTATCAAGACACACCAAAGGGAGATGGCTTACTCCAGGTCACATAGCTGGTTAGTTACAACCAAGACAAGAATCCTCCCTGCCAGTCTCTTGTTTCTACCCCACCACAAAGCTCTCAGATCCGTAGAACATCAAGGTCGTTCAACGTGTTCTTTTAATGGACCACTTCATTTTAGTATTGATTTTTCTCTAATTTCCTCACTTTTACTTCTTCCTCCCTATCTACCTCCCTTCCCTTCCTTCCCTCTTGAATAATTATTAGGCACTTGCTATGCGGGAGGCACTGAGCTAAGCTTTTTCAGTCAGGTCCCATTCCTCACCTTTTTCCTCCCTAAGAAATTGCCTGATCACATTTCTCTCTCCCTCAATAAGTTTCAGTGGCTCCCTATTGCCTCTAGGATGCAATGCTCCATTTAGCTTTTAAAAAGACCTATATTTCCAGACAGATTACACATTAATCCCTCTGACAAATACTATATTCCAGTCAAACTTGCCTATTTGATGTTCCCCATATGTGACCTTTCCCATCCCCACCCCTGAGAAGACAAGTGTACCTTTGCACAGGCTGTGCCCATGCCTGGAATGCACTCCCTCCTTCCTTTCACCCCCGTGGGATCCCTAACTCCCTTCAAGACTCAGCTCAAGCTAATTCCTACATTAGATCGTCTCCCAAATGTTAGTCTCTCTCTACTGCTTTCTATTTGCATAAATTTTTATTTATTTATCTATTTACATATGCATCCCCACCCTGCCCCCCTCCACCTGGCAGAATGCAAGTTCTTTGAAGGCAGGGATTGTTTTTCAATTTGTTTTTGTATTCCCAGAGCCTAGCACATAGTAGGTGCATCAGAAATTATTGCCTCATTGAATTAAACTGGCAATTTATCTGGGGCATATTCGCTCTCCCTGGGGAAGAGGCAGAGCTTGGGGTAGTGGTTGGGAGTGCTGACTTTTATTAATTTCAACAAAGGAGGAAGTACCCCACCCCCACCCTCCTGCCAATATTCCTAGCATCTGACACTTCACCTCTACCATTAGAAGCTCTCTAAGAGGAAAAGGTATCTTGGTCTGGGGTAGCTGGGTGGTGTACTGGACAGAGTGCTAGCCCTGGAGTCAAGATGACTAATCTTCCTGAGTTCAAATCTGACCTCAGACAGTTTCTAGCTATGTGACCCTAGGCAAATCACTAACCCTATTTGCCTCAGTTTCCTCATCTGTAAAATGAGCTGGAGAAGGACATGGCAAAGCGCTCCAGTATCTCTGCCAAGAAAACCCCAAATGGGGTCACAAAGAGTCAGACACGACTGAAACAATTGAATAACAACAACCTTTGACTCCAGAGCCAGGCTTCTTTCTACTGCACCATACTACCTCTTGCTAGCCTAGGCCCTACTACATGGTTCCCCCAGCTTTTACCAGCCTGAATTTCCCTTAATCTCACAATTATCCTGGGCAACAAATGGAATCTTCCTTAAGCACAGGTTGGACCATGTCACTCCCTTGTTCGAGAATTTTCAGTGGTTCCCTATGGCCTCTGGAATAAAATATAAACTCTTCAGTTTGGCACCTAAACTCTTTTATAGTCTGGCTTCATTCTGCCTTTCTGGACTTATTTCATATCACTCCCCCTCACTTACTCTATACTCCAGTCAATGAAGCTAAAGCACAAAACTCAAGATCCCATTTGGGAATTTAGCTTAACAGGCTTGAAGCCAGGCTCTGACATGTAATATAGTTAGTAACTACTTACTGTACAACTTTAGGCAAGTTTCTTAACCTTTCTGGGCCTCAGTTTCTTCATTTGTAAGAGGAGGAAATTGGATTAGATCATCTCTAAAATGAGAAAGTTAGATCTTGCTTTGAGTCTTAGCCTTGATACCTATTTGCTGTGTGACCCTGAATAGTACTGCATCTCACTTTATCTCTACTTTTCCATCTATTAAAAGGTAGTGATGTTGTCTGATGTCACCAGCAGTTAATCTTAATGCCATGCACTGCTGTGGGGCCTCAGTCAATGCTGATGGAGATCAAATAATGAGCTAGTGTTGGGCAAGATCTGGGAAGTGCTGGAAAATCTTGGAAGGAAAGGAGCTGTATACACTCTAGTGCTCAGCCTAGATCTAGGGTTACCAATGCCCTGGCCCCTCTGCTGTACTTATGAAGCACTCTTCTCCTTTTGTACCTTGTCTTCTCCCAGTCCTGGTTCCCTTTATTTCTTTTATTGCACACTCCAGAACATCCGCATGTCTTTTTCTCTGTGCCATGGAGATCCTTCTCCTCTATCTATTTTCATTTACGTCTCTATACATTTGCAGATAAACCTCCCTGATTCTCAGAGCCAGACTGATGATGGAGGTGTCTTCATCACCTAGATCCTAGGCTATCTGCCCCTCTCCTTCATTGACCCAGTCTCCTGTTTCAGCTCTATGACTCCGGGGGAGGGGGAAGGGAAAGTACATCCCAGGCCTCTGGTGCTCTTAGCTGGGCTATTGTGATCAGAAACCATGAAAGTTACCAGGGGCTAAGGGCTCAGAGGGACCAAAGCCAGTGACTGTGTTAGGTAGATTAGAAGAATCCCAGGAGCAAATTCCCTCTCCTTTTCTTTTCTGAACCCCAGCCTTCCCCAACACTGGAGCACCATTCACATTTTTCTCTATGATCTTCTCAAAGCCCCTTCATTCAAAGCAAAGGTCCCTGGAGCCCTTTAGGGAGAGACTGTGGTCCTGTCCTTCACAAACTACATCAGGACCTGGGCATGGAGCGCAGGATGCTTTCTTCGGTCCCAGAGTAGTGGAAATAGTCACTTGTAAGGAATGACCTGAAGAAAAGGCTCTCTGGGGCTCCTCACACTTTTGGGTTGGGGTGCACATTTGTGGCTTGCTTTCTGGCCAACAGAGCCATAGAAAAGCCATTAGAATCTGACCAGGAGATGCCAAATGCTACCAGAAAAAAGGAGAAGAGGAAGAAGAAGAAGAAGAAAAATCCATTTCCTTCCAAATGAGAAAACAAAGTAAGTGGTTTCTGGGAGCAGATGAATTGCGTATGTCTGAAGTCTGGCTGCTCTGTACCCCCTTTTCCATTATTTTCACCTTGGGCTCTGTATGACTCAATCTGAAGCTGTTCAGGAAGGCCAGCAGATGTTTCATTAAGAGGGCCATGCACAATCCTGATCAGTTCATCTCACAGCTCCCAGGTCTCCTTTCTATTCCCTGCCATTGCACTTTGGCCTGTATCCCTCCACTCCCTCCACCTAGAACTTTTCATTTGTTATTTATTTTGTAAAATCATCAGGGCATTTCCTTGACTCTGTTAGGCCTATACAGTAGGGCTATAGTTTTATTTTTAAAATATCAGAAACCCCTCTCCCTATATTAACCAAGAGAGCATTTCTAGGGAGTGACTTTCTATGCTCATCAAAGAATGTCACTGACCTGAGGCCCTGGGAGACTCTCTCACTTCTCCCTGCCTCTGGATATTGGAAAGCTGGGGACTGGGAGGGGTCTGGGGCCTGTGTTAATAGACAGGTACAAGAATAAGCTACCTGATCAAGTCACCAGATTTACTCTTGGTTTTCTGACCGTAAGGTTTTTTTCTGGGGGTGGGCTGGGGAGGGGGTCCTTGAATTCTCTTCATAAGGATTGTGGAGATATCAGGTAAATGTCATTGCAACAGGTCCCATGACAATAAACGTTTGGGTGACAAAAAAATGTTCCAAGCCCTAGTCAGAGACCCACTTCCTTCAAGCAATATTTATGACAACAAAATGCCAGCAGAGCATCGGGATTTAGGCAATCCCGTTGGAATTTGGTTTGATTTAGAGAAATGGATCAGAGAGATTAGTGAAAGGTGACTCCAAAGCCTATTGCAATAACTGGAATCTTTTAGGTCTAACGCTTTTGCTTGTAAGATGTGACTGCCCTTCTCTAGGTCTTAGCTTCTTCATCAGTAAGGTGCGAGTGGCTTGGATTCAATGAACTCTAAGGTCCCTTCTAGTTCTAAAAGTCTAGGATTCTGTAATGCCTGTAGTTTCTTCCTTTGACTGGACCAGGAAGATCCCAAACATTGAGCTTTTCTACTACCCAACTCTCCAGCATTTTTAATCCTAAATAGTAACCCCCCCCCCAAGAATGGGATCACGCACATACCTATTTATCTTTGTCTGGACCTAGGATCTCATTGGTACAGGCAAACTCCTTCTAGCAATGTAGATCAATACCTTCTCTGCCACTCAGAGCCTTGGAGCAGAGGTATCAAACCTCCAGCAAAACTCCCCAGTGCAGCCTGAACCAGATTCCAATGTAATTGGGAATATTCAACAAAGTAAATAAAATGTGATTCAACATAGGTAATGTTAATTTGTGGTTTTCTAAGTCACTATGCAACCAACAGGGATCGGTTTCCATTTGAATTTGACACCACTGGCTTAGAGTACGGAGAGGCAAAATGATTTGTCTAGGGTCACACAGCCATATGTCTCAGAGATAGGATTTGAACCCAGTGTTTCTGACTCTAAGGCTGGCCCTCTACCTACTACATCAAGTTACTTCATACACATATGTGATAAGTACTCAGTAAATGTTTGTTCATTGGAACTGGATTGAGTTGAATTCAAACATGGGCCAACATAAGAGCTAGCTGAGACATATCCTGTGCAAAGCTATGTTCCAATGCATCCCTTCACCTTAGGTAAAGAAGCTCGGGAGCCTGAGCTCTGGGTCGTCATCGTCAATACCGTCGTGATACCCAAGCCCACCCGGGCAGGGGCGGCATCCATGTTGATCCAGAAGGAGACCCAAGACAGGATGACAATGAGCAGGCTAGGGATGTACATTTGGATCAGGTAGTAACCCATCTGGCGCTCCAAGTGGAACTTCACCTCTATGCAAGTAAACTTTCCTGTCAGAAAAGAGAAGATTAGCCCCTCCGATGCCCTCTCGGGCCTATATATAGCTGGCTGGCAGTAGCCTTGTGTCTCTTTGGGCCAGACTCAACATAGTAACTCCCATACCATCTCTGTCTCCCTCCCATGGCTTACAAATAGATCAAAGAAAAGTGACCACACTGAGTTAATTTAGGTCGTAGGCCTATGGGTCAGTGTTTACTTCGGTGGCTGACATTGGAATATTAGTGGATAAATGTCATGTATGGCTGAGACCTTCACAATTCTGTGTCTTCTGCCCCAATCTCACTACATACACACCCTCACAGGGGTGACCTAGAGTCCTCTAAGAAGCTTAGTGCCTGGCACATAGTAAGCACTTAATAAATGTTTGCTGACTTATTGCTTTGACTCTAATGAGCCATGTAGACAGTGACTCAGGCCCCTAGCCCAATTTAATTTGCTATCTCAGGACTACCAGAGGCCTCTTTGCCACCTCTCCGAGAGTTGCTGTTGAAGGGAGATGGAGACAATTATAAGCTGTGCTGACTGGGTCCACTACAAATTTATGTTACATAATCTCAATTGGGCCCTCATTACTGAAAGGCAATTCCTCTGTAATTAACTTGCTACCCATCTGACCATAGTAGTTTCCCCAAACCTTTTTATCCCTTCTCAAACCCTTCCTGTCACTCTTCCCCACACCCTCATCCTCTCAGCCAAGGATCTTACTTCATATTTCACTAAGACCACCTTCTGAGAGCTCCTTCTTTTCTTTTTCTCCTCATCCCATATTACCCAGACATCTTCCCTCACTACTTTCTCCACTATCCTTGTCTCTTGTGAAGAGGTGGCCTTTTTCCTTGCCAAGGCAAACCCTTCTACATGTCCCTTGATACAGTCCCATTCTCTCTTCTGCAGCAGATCCCCCCTCACCACTCTTTCCTTCTCTCCCCCTCCTCTCTCTTTCATTTTGAATCTCTCCTTACCTATTGACTCTTTCTCTGATGCCTACAAACTTGCCCATTTCTCTTCCATTCTTAAAATGTCCTCACTTGATCTAACCATCCTCACTAGCTATTGTCTTGTGTTTCTCCTCACCTTCTCAGCTCAGCTCCTGTAAGAAGAAAGCCATCTATAGTTGGCACATCCACTTTGTTTCCTCTCCCTGTCTTCTACACCTATGATCTGCCTTCTGACCTCATTATTCAGCTGATAGTGCTCTCTCAAAAGTTACCAATGATTTCTTAATTGCCAAATCTAATGAGCCTTCGTCCTTCTTGACCTCTCTTTGGCCTTTGACACTGGCAATCAGTCTTTCCTCCTGGACGTTCTTTGCTTTTCTGCCTAGGTTTTTGGGACCCTGCAACCTCTTGCTTCTCCTACCAGTCTGACCCATGCTTCGGTCTCTTTGCTAACTATTCCTCTTAGTCATGCCCCTTAACTGTGGGTATCCTATGAGGCTCTGTCCTGCGCCCTCTTTTCTTCTCCCTCTATACTATTTCACTTGATGATCTCATCTGCTCATGTGGATTCCATTACTGTCTCCATGAAGGTGACTCCCAGATCTCAAAACCCAACTCTAATCTGTCTCCTGCACTCCTGTCTCACATCACCAGCTGCTTCTGGACTGTCATCTTTCTCTTCAGCCCCTTCCCTCTCCTCCACTTCCCCATTCCTCCTTAGGGCTCTCTATCACTCTATTCTCCCATTCTCCCAGTCACCCAGGCTCACAACCTCAGTGTTATCCCAACTCTTTGCCCTCACTTACACCACATATCCAACCTGTTGCCAAACTTTGTCACATCTGCCATCCAGGTATAGGCCCTCATCATCTCATGCCTGGAGTATCACAATAACCTCCTAACTGGTTTCCCTGCCTCAGATCCCTCCCCACTCAAATCCATCCTCCATTCAGCTGCCAGAATGAAAAAAAGCACAGATCCCATCATCTCTCCCCTCCTCCCTGTCCCACTTAACAAACTTCAATGGCTCCCTCTGACCTCCAGGATCAAATAGAAAATCCTCTGACTTTGAAAGCCCTTCACAACCCAACCCCTTCCTACCTTTCCAGTCTTCTGACACTTTACTCTCCACCACAGACTATGATCCCTAACACTGGCCTTTTTGCTGCTCTTTACTTACATCACTGCATCTCTAGACTCCATGCCTCTTTGCAGGCTGTCGCCCACGCCTGGAACGTTCTCCCTCCTCACCTTTGCTTCTTGTCTTCCCGTCCTCTCTCTAGTGCCTTCCCTTCTCTGACGGCCTCCCGTTCATATTAGACATATCTTGTCTGCACATTGTCTCCCCCACTAGACCGGGAGCTCTTTGAGGACAGGGACCTTGTTTTTGCCTTTCTTTGTATCCCCAGAGCTTAGCACAGTGCCTGCCTGGCACATAGTAACTTCTTAGTAAATGCTTGTTGACTGCCTGCTCCCCATAGGCAATTCAAATTCTACGAGGGGACACTAATGAGCCCAGGTCAATGAGGTAATGCGACTCAAATACCAGATGTGTCTCTTCAGAGGCTTAGACTTCCCCAGTCCAATTTGCCAACAACAGCTGGCCCACTAGGATGCAGACCTCTTGTATAGGAACCTTACGTATTTCCCTGGTTGTTAGTTTTTGTTTGTTTTGACAATAGATTTAATTTGCTGCCATGGCAGTTTGGAGAGCAAGTCCTAGTGGGAAAGTGTGGTTGGCTGGATGGAAGAGGAGGTGGGAGATCACTATTTGTTCTTTAGCTCTGGTAGAGATGTGGCCAGGACTCCCCTGTCCCTGGGAAGTGCCAGACACTCTTGCCAATCCCATCTACTCCCTGGAATGGAGACTCTTTCCTTGGGCTCTGCCCACCCTTCCCTTAAGCTCTAGATTTTTTTGATCACAGACTCTTACAGACTCTTCCAGATTCTCCTTGCCATATTTTATGCTGGGCTTATGGAAAGGAAAGCCTTCCATGATGAATTATTCAGCTCTTCCTTGACCTTGGGCCCTCTCTCTTTTCCATTTTCCCTCTAGAATCTCTTACCTGTCTAGTTGGGAGTGCTTCTTGTATCTTGGCTTTGGAGATTACACCTTAGAGCTCAGTCAAGAAGCCATTAGGAGGAGATGATTGGCAGCAATGGGGAGGCCACCCTTTGACCCAGCCATAGCACTTTTAGAACTGTATCCCAAAGAGATCATAAAAATGGGAAAAAGACCCACATGTACAAAAATATTTATAGCAGCTGTTTTTGTGGTGGCCAAGAATTGGAAATTGAGAGGATGCCCATCCATTGGGGAGTGGCTAAAGAAGTTGTGGTATATTCATGTAATGGAATACTACTGTGCTATAAGAAATGAGCAGACAGACTTGAAAAAAACCTGAAAAGACTTAGATGAACTGATGCAGACTGAAATGAGCAGAACCAGGAGAACATTGTACACAGTAACTGACTTCGATAGACTTGGCTCTTCACAGCAATGCAAGAATCTAAGACAACTCCAAAAGACTCACGATGGATATTGCTATCCACATCCAGAGAAAGAACTATGGAGTCTGAATGCAGATGGAAGCATACTATTTCCTCTCCTTTTCCTTTGTTGTTTTGTTTTATTGCTTCATTCTCATGGTTCCTCCCATTAGTTCTAATTGTTCTTTACATCATGACTAATGGGAAAATATGCTTAGCATGAGTGTATATGTAGAGCCTATAACAGATTGTATGCTGTCTGGGGAGGGGGAAGAAGTGGGAGGGGGAGAAATTTTAAAACTCAAAATCTTTTGGAAGTGAATGTTGAAAACTAAAAGTAAATAAATTAATAAAAAAATTAAAAAAGCAATGGGGAGGCCACAGTCATAACCTTCATTTCTGCTGGGTAGAGCCTGCCCCTTGCCTTCAGTATAGCACAAAGACACTGACTCTTAAGGGCATCCCTGTGTCTTAGCTGGGCATGACTGGGCCATCGGCCACATCACTTCCATCCCTCCTATTTTGTTGATCCCCACAACATGGTAGATGATTCTCTGCTGCTTAACTCTAAAGGTCAGTTTATCCCGAAGCCAGAGAAGTCATCATGGGCTCCAGTGGCCAAGCTCAGGCCATTTGGTCCAGAGCTAGTGAGGGGTTCCGGGCTTTACCTGTGTTATAATATTTGGTGCAGTAGCCGAGATCCTTTTCATCCCGCAGGATAAACTGGGGCAGAGTCAGCCCCTCAGCTACTTGCACAGCCGGGGCATCTTCCAACCACTCAAACACAAGGTCGTTCATAGTGTAACCAACTGAAAGAGGAGAGACACAGGGTTAGGGGCTTCATAGTGTGTGTGTGTGTGTGTGTACATGCACACACAGTGGAGGTAGCCATGGAAGAGGCTGATGCATAAGGGTTAGGCATTTCTTGCTCTCTTGATCAAGGCTTTCCAGGAGAAGCTGTCCCATCTGATATCTAGGACCTCTGGAGGAGAGAGCTGCAACACCCAGCTCTTTGGCTTGCCCTTTCCATTCCAGAGAGGTGCCCAGATGGCAGATATCCTCTTGAAAGGATGTCAAAGAGAGCAGATGGGATCCTCCTGGGTATCTGGAACCTGACTGAGTGAGCATGTGTGGCGAGTACCGCATGCAAACTCCAGAGGATCAACGTCAGAGCTAGGATTTCCTAAAGCCCACCATCCTTAGGGATCCAATTTCCACAAAACAAGGCATGCATATAGAGCCTGGCACACTGGGACATAGAAATAGCTGATGCCTGATCACACCACATGGAGAGCCTCACAGAACATGTTGGGCATAGGTACAAGACCTCAGTGCTCCATTGTACGTGGGTACAAGGTGCACAGACAAGCAGCGAGCATCTCACATACTTGGCAATGCTTTGGATCCTAGGCATACAACATAAATGGAGCAGAGAAGATCTCGTGATCCACATGTCTCAACTCTGCTCGGATTCTATTTTGAGGTCATACCTTGTAGCTGTGTAATGTCTGCATTAGAGGTACAATTGTAAGCAAATGCAATTGGGGCTTACCCCTCCCCCCTTACCCTTTAGTGAGCTCCTCTACTGCTATGCCCCACCAGGGCTGGGCAGGGTCTTAGGCACTAGACATTGCCCTCCCTTCCTCTTCAGGTCACAGCTCACCTGGGGGAATGTTTGTTAAGGTCTTCCCAAGTCTCTTTCTCAGAAGACCACATTTGCATTTGAAAGGGGATCTTGTACCTTAATCCAAAGAGTGAAGGAGGGGAATCTTAAGCCTGGTAGCAGGCTGATGGGGAGATACTTAGGGGTACCCCTCGCATTGTACCTCATTGTTCCCCAAATACTCACAGCTTTCTAGCTGCATTGTGCACGTCTGGATGTCCATAGGGAAGTTCTTGAGGTCCATTGGGCAGGACAAGACAAGAGTTAGCCTGACAGAACCAGACATAATAATAATGATCATGAATGCTGATATAGCAATTTCAAGTTTGTAAGGGACTCTGTCATACAGTATGTCATTTGAGTCTAATGATAACCTTGTAAAGTAAACTCTGCAGGTATTATTTTCATTTTACAGATCAGGAAATTGAGGCTGACTGGTAAAATATCTTGCCCGGTGTCACACAACTATGTAATGTCAGAGGCTAGCTTCGAACCCAGATTTTCCTGACTATTTCGACCTCCACCTCCCTGGTATGCCTTCTCGCCTTTGGCTTGTGTATGTTGCCCTGACAAATGAGGATTAACAGTGATGTTGGTACAACCATCTTCACGCTATGTGCCCCACCCAGCTTCAAGCCAACAGCCTCGACTGACCTACTTGGGACACACACAAAAAGGAATTGCTGATCCTTTGTTTTCCCCCTTCCCCCCATTTTTCTCTCCCGTTCTGGCCCACACCTGATGCTGTAGAGCACACTCCCATTCTTGAATATCCGAAGCAGCTTGTTGTCAGTAGTCACCTCGTGGAAGCTGGCACCCTTCTCATTGGCAAAGAATAGGTCTGGCTTCCAAATGGAGTCCAGCATGGAAGGGTCTAGGTCCAGGGAGTCGTCTGGGTATTCCAGGTAGGCTAGGCGTGGGTCATTCCACTGCTGCCGAAGGAAGACATTCACTCTGTAATCCTTAGGGGGAAGGGGAAGGGGAAGAAACAGTCGAGTCAGATACAACTGGGACACCTTGACATGGCCTTGCAGGGTCAGCTTTCAGTGCCCTCGGGCCTCTAAAGGGCAGTCGAGTCTCTTTGTGGAAGTGGGCTTAGAGCATCAAGAAAGTGGGACTTTCCCACTGGAGAAGTGAGCTGGATTGGGCTGAGCTGAGCTGTCCCACCGAATTTCTGGCCCCCTGATGCTTAGATGCCCAGGGCTCTGTGGTGTCTGCCTCATGCCATAGGACCTTAGGTCTCCGAGGGTTTGAATAGTAAGTTTTCAATTTGGGGAATCCACAGGCCATTTTTGGTAAAGAGCCTGTGCTCCTGACCGTGAAGTCAGAAAGAGAAAAGAGAAACGAAGAAAGGTTTGGCATCTAAGGGGGAATCCATGCCTTCAGCAAGGGGATGGATTAGATAATTCTTCTGGTCTCTTTCAGCTGAGAGTCCATGATAGTAGAAAGTACTTTCTTGCCTTGGTATTACAGTAGGAGGGAGAAACCCAGTGAGGGGGTTGTGGGGGAATTGGGAGCTGAAGGAAGAGTCCTGGCAGTAAAGGAGGATGAGGAGTCCTGGCAGTTGGGGAGTGTCACTTACCATCGTGGTTTCTGTGACAGAACTGAAGCTGTTGATGAAGATGTTGCAGGTCACATTCACGGGGGGCCCTGAGGAAACCAAACCACAGTGTCATTACTGGGTCATCTAAGGGACAATGGAGTCAGCCAATGAGCTCCCTTTCCCTCTTTCCCCTCTTTCCTTTTCTTTTCTCCTTTGCCCTCCTGGTTCTTCTCCCAAAGGTGGATAGATAGCTGAGCAGGGGAAGAGAAGGCTAGGGTCGGTGATGGGAACTGGAAAGGATTAGGGAAGATGGCAATGACTGGGTGGGATCCATAGGGGCCTGAGGGCAATATTGAGCTTGTAAGAGCAAGGATAGACAGAGGATCCCACCTTTTACTACCTTTACCATCATTCCCTTTGATGTTGCTGGAAATCAGAGGTCCTGGCTGGGCACTAGTGTGTCCCCAGGCCTCCTGTAAAAACCAAAGGCAATTTACCTTTAAAATTGGGCCGAATCCTAGCATCATACCCAGAAGTTCGTCCCATGAGCTTGTCCAGGAAATCAGAGGGTGACATGGGCTGAGGAATGCTCTCGGAGGCAGATTTGACTTCCTCTTTCCCTGAAGCCAACCTAGTGAAGGGAGGTTGAAAATTGGTGGGCTAAATGTTCCTCCCCATTGCTTCTACTCAGCCTTCCTCCTGAGGTTGTGAACCGTGAGCTGCCGATGTGTACATCAGGTTGCAACCTGGAGAGAGCAAAACCTCACTTGAAAATGCTTTGGGATCATGCAAAGCAAAGGCACATTTCACTCATAACAACACACCTCTGCATTCTGTCCACCCATTCACTCGGTCTCTCTGCATTTAGCTTCTGACTCTGCCCCTCTACTGCAACTGTTCTCTCGAAGGTGACCCTAACCCCTAATTATGCAACACCATGATTCATCCACTGACCTTTCTGCAAGTTTGGCCACTGTTGACCACGGTTGCCTCTTGGATATGCTGGTTCCTTTGGATTCCTGAGCAGGGATCTCTTCTGATTCTTCTGCCTCTCTAATCATGCCTTCTTGTTCTCTTTCCTTGATTTATCATCTTTCTCTTTCCCCCACATGTGGGTGTTCCTTAAGGCTCTGTCCTAAGCACTCTTCTCTTCTCTCCATATTGCTTCCTTTAGTAAGCTCATATGTTCCCATTAGGTACAATTATCATCTCTACACAGATGACTCCTAAATCCACCTCTCCAGCCCTAATCTCTCTTCGGAGCTCCAATCTCATGACTCTAAATGCCTGATGTTGAGTTTGAGATGTCAATGGGACATGTCCCAAACTGAGTTCATGTTTCCCCTTAAACCTTCCCCTCCTCCCAGCTTTGTTATTTAAGGAAAAACATTGGTAAGCTGCAGTATACTCAGAGAAGGTTGACCAGGATACAGAGAATCTTGGTGACCCTGTCACATTAGGATTTGTTAAAGAGGGTGGGGGTGTTTATCTTGGAGAAGAGAAGCTTTGGAGGGGGCAAGATGGCTAGCTGGAAATATCTGAAGAGCTGGTTTGTGGTCCCAGAGAGCAGAATCAGAAGCAGTATTGGGAGGAAGCTGACTGCACAGAGGCAAAGTTAGTCTGCGTGGCTGGAAACACTTCCCAACAATTGATGGACTGGGCCTCCTGAAGATGGAATGTTGGCCTCAGAGCTCAGACAGAAACTCCAGGCTGACTGATTGAAGGAAACCGGGTGACCTCTCTAATCCCTTCCAATTCTCATTCTTCAAGCCTAAGGGTGGGGACTTCCCAAAGAACCCATGGACAGCATCCTTCTAGAGGCTGAGGGCTTGGGCTCAGTTAGAGAAAAGGCAGAATTGCTGGGGTGCTAGCGCCATAGGGTGCCCTGTCGGGTAATTTTTTAAAGCCTCAGCGGTTTTGGCTTGAACAGGAACCTCTGGCCTAGGGTCCTAGGATGTTGGCATTTGTGTATGGCAAAGTCAGATGGGGCCTAGGAGCCACAGTCTAAAGCATTTGGGTAAGCCACCCAATTGACTGGCTGTGCCTAGGCCAAACGCAGCAGAGGTGTTTTGGGGATGGTGAGACAAAGACTAGCTTTGCTTTGTTAGCTATAGCCCATGCGATGCAAAAGCCAGTCTAGAGATTGCCAACCCCCGCCCCCAGCCCCAAGGCTGTTCAGCAGCTATTCAGTTGCTTTCTGACTTGCTTTCTGCTGGGATGGTGCCCCAGTTCCTTGCATTCCTACCTTGCATTCTCTTCCATTCCAGCCTGGGGCTGATGACACAGTGCTAGCAGCTGCTCTGGGGACCTGGGGCTTCTTCCATCTAACATCTACCTTTTCTGACAAGCCTACTCTCTGAGCATTGCAATCCCCTCAATCCGCCCTCATTCTTGCCAATTAAGATGGAATAGTATCATAGATTTAGAGCTGGAAGGATGGTAGTGATCAGCGAATCCACATCCTCATTTTATGGGGGTGGGGCAAGGGATGAAGCCCAACACCTTAAGAGACTTGCCCAGGATGACACAGCTAATAAGCATCTGAGGTGGGATTTGAACCCAGGTCTTCTTGGCTCCAAATCTGGTGTTTTACCCACTACATCATGTTGCCTCTCAGTAGTGTCCATGGGCTCACCAAAACCTTCAGGTACAAAGGAGTTGGGCAGCAGAAAAGGCTGCCAGCCAGCTAGCCTCAATGGGTGCTTCTCACCATCACCGTGGTAGCAACCATGGAGGGGACTGGGAGTCCTAGGGATTGCCATTCTTCTGGGCCCCAGTTTCTCAAAGCCAATAGCTCCTCACCCCCAGCTGTCCAGCACCTAACAGCACCAGTGACCAACTCCAGTCATCAGCTTAGGGTACAGCAAGATGTATCAGAGGGAGACACTAATGTCTTCCCTTTCCTGGAGGGAGCCCTTCTCTGAAGATCGCACTGCTTTCTCTCTCTACCCCTTACTTCAGGTGAGAAAAGTCTAGGCCCCACCTCCACCCCTCCACACACCACTGATGGAGTGAGGGCCAGGGTTGCTGGAGCAGGTGGCCAGAGATTCCTTCTGAAAACCCAGGGAAGAAGGTAGAGGTGAGAACCAAGCAGAAGGAGGTCCCTGCTTACTTCCCAGGTGCTATTGCCAGCTGATGGTCACCTGCCCACCACATGAACACTGAGTCAGAGCCTTCCTGTGCACCAGAGCTCTACACTGGCCCCCACTCAGGTCACCTTCCACGTCAGCTTCAGGCTGAGCTCTCCCTGACACTGTTAGCAGGGCTACCTTGGCTTCCTTCTCTCAGGTTTCTTGCTGCAGAAGTGGTGGGATAGGGCAGGGAGGCCCAGAGTTCACCAGAGGTAGTGTCCTTAAGGCATTCTAGTCACCTTTATTCCTAGAAAGGCCCTGTTGCTGAGAAGGGTTAGGAAGTAGCAGAAGCTCATGCTCCGACGAGGCCTCCTGGGAAGCACTAGCTCTTTTGCTAGCTGACCGTGTGGCCTTGGACAAGTCCCTTGCCCACTCTGGGCTTCAGTTTCCCTCCTTGTGTAAATAGAAGGGGGCTGTACTAAATGACCTCTAAGGGCCCTGATGCCAAATGTGACTTTCTATATTTCTAAAAAAAATGCCTCCAAGAGGAAGCTGGAGTCTCCATTTTGGAAGCTGCCAGCCCCTCATTGAAGGGAGCAAGGCTAGGAGCGGGATGCCCGCTGAAGCGTCAGTCCTCATTCACCCCCTCGGGAAGTTGGCTCTTCCACACTCCCTGGCTGCCCAAGGGGCCAGCAGACGTGTTTAGGGAGGGAAGGATCTCCGAACAGGCCCTCAGTCATTGCAATGAACAGCACGGACAAGGGTTTGAGGGAGGGCCCTGGTCCTGCCCCTGTCTGGCTTCTGAGGGACCTTACCCAGTCCACTCTGTCCCCAGTCATATCCCCTTTCTGCTGCTCATTGCCTAACAACACAGACTTTCTCCCAGTTGTAATCCAGCACCCCGTTCGGCAAGCAAGCAAGGATACTTACTGGGAGACTCTAGGAAGGATTTTGGCCCCTCTCAGGCAGTGAGTCCTGTTTATTCCAGCCCCAGGGACAGTACTCAGTCATGTACAGGCAGTCCCCAAGCCAAGGAGGGGGGTGTCCTATGGTTTGTTCATTTTAGACTCCTCCAGATATAGGCTTTTGGCAAATCTCTGTTCCTTGGTGAAGGGAAGGAACCCTTTGCCCATCTAGCATATATGATTTTCCTTTTGCCTTTAGTGAGTATTGCTGGGTATCTGGGTGTGAGAGGAGAGACTGAGGGGAGATGTCCAGGAGCATACTCACTGCCCTGACTAGCCAATGTTACAGCTAAGTTTCTCAGCCAAATGCGGTAGCTTCCTCGACAGTGCTATCCCACTCGGGAGCTCATTCAGCCTTGTTGGGGTCTCTTGGGCTCAAATTCCTCAGGGAGCCACTAGGCTCTCAGCTTCCCATCAACTTAGATGAAAGCACTGGGGCCAGAATCCCCAGGGGACCCCGGTTCACCTCCCTTGGAAATGCAACCTCTGGTGAGATTGGGTTTGGGGATTTTGTTATTCATGCAGCCACATGCTCTAACCCGTGCTCTGCTCACCTGAGTAGGACCTGCTCTTGTAGGGTCCAGAAGAAGAGGAAGGAGAGGGTTCCAGGAGTAAGAGTTTTCATTCCTTAGAGCAACTGATGCCCTTACCTTCTTCCCTCGCTTCGGAGGCAAGAGAGGAAACCCCCCCTTGGAATGCCAGAAGTCAGAAGCCCTCCTCCAACTTGGGCTGCCTAGACATAGCCTGTTTCCCCAGCCCAGGGAGTTGGGCCGTCTCCTCCTCCTCTCCTTCCTTCCTTCTTCTTTTCTTCTCCTTGTTTTTCTTCTCTCCTTCCCTGTCCTCACTGGTTGGGGGCTACAATTGTCCTCATTTAGATGATCATGTCATAGATGACTCTGCTTCGATGCCTCGGACTCCCAGGCTGTGGAGGGAGGGCCCAGGCTGCCTGGGAAGCTGGGAGGAATCCTCTTTGGGCAGCGATCACTCTCCAAACCTTGGAGAATCTTGGAGGGGAGGGAGGAGGGAGATTGGGAGGAAGATTTTCCCCTCCCTCCTACCTCCCCCCATATACACCCTCTGAAAGCAGCAATTTAAAGGCACAGTAGCCAGCAGCTGGAGTAGGGCTCAGAGCATGTCATTGTGTTGGGGAGGAGCTTGGACTGCTAAGGCTTAGCTCGGGGAGGTGTGGTAGGTGTTTCAATCCAATCTCCAACTCTCCAGCCCTGAGAAATCCAAACAAGCTGTTTATTCTCCCCTTTTCTCAACAGCTTTCATTTAGCCTGGAGCCAAGCTGAGGCAGAAGAGTCAAGTCCTAATGATCTAAAAGTGAAGGAAGAGTGGGGGTGGAGGGAGAGGAGATAGAAGAGTGTGAAGGAGCCAAGTCACTGGGCATTTTCCTCTTGACAGCTTCATGGCTGAGAGGAGGTGGCAGGCCAGGGCCAGAGTTAATCAGCCCCTTGGATGGAGAAGGAGCTGATTTTGCAAGGACTCTGTAGCCCAGAATCTTGCCCTTTCTCACTGCCTGTATTTCTGTGTGTGTGTGTGTGTGTGTGTGTGTGTGTGTGTGTGTGTGTGTGTCTCTCTGTATGTGTGTATCTGTCTGTCTGTCTGTCTGTCTCTCTTTTTCCTAAGCTTATACAGACTCTCCAATTCCTTCTGGTCTCTTGAATGATCTGAAATCTCACTTTTCAGTTCTTACTGTAGCCTCCCCACTGCCATCACCTCTCCCTCTGTTGATCTCTGTGCCCAAGACAAAACTGCCCAGCAGGGTCAGGGTATTATAATATGACTCCCAAAGGGTAACTACCAAACATCAATAATATGACCTTCCATAGGAACCTGAGGTTTGACTTTATCTTTTCTGGTTGAAAGAGATCTGTGAGTTCCTTTCCCTCTTTCCCTTTTTTTCTTCTCAGGCCCATTTGCCTTGAACTTCCTTCCTGGTGGCTTAGCAACTTCTTTACTCCTTTCTTTACCCCAAATTTAGGCTGCCTGATATTCACCATTAACTAGCATGACCTTAGACAAGTCCTTTGCATCTCACCTTTTAAATCTGAAAAATGGGTGAGTGAGGAGATTGGCTTAGATCTCTAAGGATGTGTTCAAGGCAAACATACTACAATTCTAAAATTCTCACTTGCATGTCTCCCTCCCTCCCTTAAATTAGAGCAATGAGAACCATGAGGATCTGAACTGGACCCTTGATTTCAGTGGTATAGAGAACTTTCAGGTGAGGAAATCCCCTTCAGCAATACAAGTCACACCTTCTCAGTGACTTACTGTCTTGGGTAGTTGCTCGGGGCACTGAGAGGTTAAGTGATTTGCCCAGGGTCACAATGCCAGTATGTGTCAGAGGTAGCATTAGAAGGCTCCAACAATCCCCGACAAGACTAATCAATCCATTATTAGCCTGAACCAACTTAGAGGAAACAGTGCATTGAGAATTGGTATGGAAGCCTGCAGGACTGTGCACCAGGCCAGAGGAGAGGATGGAGGGAATAAACCAAGCTGATTCCTGCTTCTGACTGTTGCTGATGCCATAGGGAACCCAGTGCATGGGATCTCAAGAAGGAATTTGGAAGTCACCTAGTCCAACTTCCTCAGTTTGCAGAGGAAGAAACTGAGGCCCAGAAGGTGAAGGGACTTGCCCAAGAAGCAGAGACAGCTTTGGGTACTTCAGGTCACTCCAGCAAGCCATTGACAGGTCCCAGGCTCTCAAAGCATCAGCACACAACCACACATAACCTTTTCTTCTTTGCTCCCCTGGGATCCCAAAGTCCCTAAGCATATGAGAGTCAGCCCTTTGGAAGGACAGAAACTTTCTCATCAGTTATTTAGGAGGTCAACTTGAGGCAGCAATGGTGGACACGCTTCTGGTTGGAAGGAGAACACAGTATGGTGTAACGGGAAGATACTTGGAATTGGAAGACCTGGATTTCAGTCTTGACTCTAACATTCACTGACTCTGGGACCCTTGGACAAGTAACTCACTTCTCTGAACCTCAGGTTCCTCATCTATAAAATGGGTTAACACAGAGTTGTTGTGAAGCTCTAATGAGTTAATGTGTGTGAAGTATTTTGGAATATGTGAAATAATAAATAAACATGAGATTGCTTATTAAAGTTTTCCTAAGGATGTATAAACATATACTTTAGGGGGAGAAGAGAAGGAGAAAGCTGCAGAAATCATTATCATTAGCCAACAAGAGGTTAAAAAGATAGTTTGAGTAGTCTATCTTCATAATACCATAAGACAAATTCTCAGAGCTTAATTAAAAAGCTCTTGGTCCATGTCAAAATTCTGACAATTCTCTGACAATCTTTAATAATCCAGTGTTGCTATTAAAGCAGAAGTTTATCTTCAAGTCCTTTCTGTCATACTGTGGGCTGCTCCACTTACCTCAGAGCTGGCTGAATCTCAGTGAGGAGGCTGTGTGTATTTGTGTTAGAATTTAACAAGTATTTTCAGGATGAAAATGATTATTTTCACATGCAAGTACCACTGAGTCAATAAATAAAGATTAATCACCCTTTGATAGATGCCAGATTTCAGTAGGATCTCTCACATCGAAGCAGGCTGAAGTTCACACCCCTGTAAAAGTGACTTCAGTAGTCCCAGTCTGATAGCATCAAATTAATGTTTGACTGCTCAGGCTCCTCAGGAACTATTGGATTGGACTGTCTATTGTTTTAAACTGAGTTGGAGATTGATTTCTCCTGCCCCTTTGCCTTCCTATAGGGTGGAAAAACCCTTTCATAAGGCCATCAATTATTGGAGTGTCAGAGATGCACTGATGGATTTCTGAAATGCAGCTGTAGGTTAAGGGGAATCTTGAGGAATCCAAATGGCCCATCTCTGCTGCCTGTTTCCCCAATCTGGGGAAACCATGAGGTGACTAGCTACTTCCTCAGAAGCCTGGGGTAGAGTGGAGAGGTAAATGCCTTCTCTTGAATCTGCTGACTAGGAGCTGGCTGTTGAAGGCCCATCTCTAAGGGGCAAGCCTGATGCTTTTTGCTGTGCATGGCTTTTCCTTTTTGGAGTCATTTGAAACCTTAAAGATGTTGATTTTTCTCTAAGACAGGGCTCTTCTGTGTCTGTCTGGTGGGGTCAGGAAATGCTTAAGTCCATAAACAAGGCTGCATTTAAAGGGGTGCTGAAGTGTAGGGTGCTGCAATTGGAGCTGGGAGGAGTTAAGAGGAATGAGAGTTTATAGTGAGATGAGCCTGCTCAGCTCATGGGGACAGATTGGCTTCGCTTAGGCTTTTAAAAGAGTAGATTCCCCTTTATGTAGGCATTGTGGGGTGTGTGTGCATGTGTGTGTGTGTGTGTGTGTATGTGTGTGTGTGTGTGTGCACGCACCCAAAATTCAGGGGGCTGTCTCTCAGGGAGACCCATCAGGAAAGGTTAATTTGAGGAAGTTCTCTAGCAGAGCAGCATTCAGCACTTGGACAGCACCAAGGTTTGAGAAGGACTGGAGGCTGTGCCTCTGGTTCAGCACTGGACAGCGGTGGGGGTGTCGAAAGGAAGGTGTATTGTAAAATAATCAAGTCTCAGGTTGGTCATGTTTCTTTTCCTCCCCTCCCATCCCTCAGAAACTCTACACACCCTGCCAGCAGCAGGAGCGAAGCCTTGGGTGTGCAGCAATGTAGGACTTGGGGACTTTCTCAAAGACTAACTAGCTGAGTGGACCAGGGCAAATAACTTAACCTCATATTCTCAGTTTCCTCACCAGTGAAATGGGGATTATAATACCTATAGAACTTACCTGTGAAGCTCAAATGGGATAATTTATGTAAACTGCTTTGGAAACCTTGGAGGTCTACAGTAATGTCAGTTATTAGAGCGAACGCTGTAATAGGGCACTGGGTGGAAACTACAGAAAGTCAGATTTCCGATCAATATAAGGAAAGAAGGTCCCCACAATTCCAAGAGTGGAATGGATTGTTTGGAGAAGCAGCAGGTTCCCCTTCACTCCCCTTCTGGAGTTTGTCCAGAGAAGCTGGATGACTACTTGTTAGGCACGTGGTAGCAGAGATTCTTGTTCAGGTCTGGACTGGGCTAGATGATCCCTGAAGTCTCCAACTTGGAGATCCTGTGATTCTGGGTACCTTGGTACCACAATGCTGCAGTGTGAAGTTTAGCTAACTACATACACACTAGAGATAGTTTGTCTTGCATTATGTATATAGTGCAAGGCACAGTTAGCAAATTGTGCAGAATTCATTGAGACACCTTGAAAGAGCTATGATTTTATTGCTATGGGCACTCTTTCCATGCACAGATTGCAACCCCTCCATACATGAATTGCTATAGCTGAAAAATTCACCATCTGCTGGGCAGCTCTCTGGTGAACTGCTAATTGCTTGGCTAGACTGGTGCAACTTGGGAGAACCCAGAGTCAACTCCATCTTATGATCAGATAATGAGATCAAGGTTACATACAATTTGGGAGGGGGGTCGAGAATTGTGATTTCATCAGTGTAGGAAACTTCCAGTGTGTAAACTTCTACCAATACAGATAAACAGCTCCTTTGTAATTCAGAAGCAGCTGGGTGGCACAGTAATTGGAGCACTAGATTTGGAGTCAGGAAGACCTAAGTTCAAATCCAGCCTGACACACTTCC